ACGAAAATATCTATCTATTGAGTAAGCATAGTGTTGTTGTGATCATACAAAATGTATGCATATGTGTATACATTTCTAAATAAGTTCAATACATAGTCAATTCAGCTTGAAGTCCTTCTAGGGTTACTGGCGGTGCTAAGCCCGGATAAACGAGGAGGGTTGGATATGAGGTTAGTGATCCCATCCTGTAGAAATCGAACTCGCTAAAATTCACCAATTCGCTGGCCGGCGGCCTATGTTCTATGAGGGGTGTAACTAAGTGAAGTAAGTTACTACATAGGTAGATTTGAGTTAGTGTAGTGGAAGTGGGTGAAATAAAAAAAATTAGTGAGTGAATAGCTGAAATATACATATATATTTTTATTCCTCGTTGTTTATACCACACAAATTGACTTTTGATAGGAAACCATTTGAAACTAGAGAATACTGGACAATCGTTTAGAACTAGAAAGCGACCAACGAGTAGTGAACGTCAATCACCTTGACGATGATTGAACCCGGGAACTTCAGGTCTCATAGTGAATATTTGATTTTTAAGATTAATGCGACATTACATGTGTAACTTCTATTACGCCGTTATTAGTGTTTAGTTTCCAAAGGTTGTAATGCAAAGCAGTAGCCAATAACACATACACCAACGAAATCATACTTGACGGAGTAGCTTCAGATGATGCAGAAACTTTCACATACCTGGACAGTATCCTTGATAGTAAAGGTGAATCTCAGATACGGATTAGCAAATCAAAGGCAGCTCAAAACAAATATTAACTAACACAAAATCAGCATTTCCAATCCAAGTGACAAAACTGTTCTATGGTATGGCTTGGACACTTCGAGAACTACGAAAACCATCATCCATAAAATACTGGTGTTTATTAACAGTTGTCTAAGCAGGATACAGAGGATCTGTTGGTCAGATACTATCAACAGTGACCCAATGTGAGACAGACCAAACCGGATTCCATCTAAGGAAGGGATTGGGAAAACGCATTGGAAGTGGATAGGATGCACACTAAGGAAATTATCCAACTACATCACAAGGCAAGCCTTAACATGGAATCCTCAAAGCCGAAATAGAGGATGAATATCAAAGAACAAATTGCACCGAGAATTGGAGACAGATATCAACAGAATGAACAGCGATTGTGTAGAACTGGAACGGAAGGCAGTCGTATGAGAAATTTGGATGGTGAATGCTTGTCGGTGACCAATGTTCTAGTTTAGGGGTAACAAACGTAAATAAGTAAATAGTGACCATGTGAGTCAGTCATTCACTAATAGCATTCAGTTATAGTGTATTATCAATGATTTAGTGGAGCTACATATGTAAAGTTTATGAGTTCTATTTTTCATTGATGGCTGTTGATGTACACTACTTGAACTGTACATAGTTATTTAATTATGATGTAAATTTATTGTTTGAAAACACACACAACTGAATCAATATCATTAGGGTTATATGAATAATTATTAGCTTTACAAAGAATTCTAGATGTGCACTGCTGATGAGTCCCAAACCAGGACGAAACGGCCGTCCAGTGCTTCCAGGTTTCTAATGGTGGTCTGACAATAATTGATTGATGATTTCAAATGTGTAAAAACACAAACCTCCAAAACTGTGCCCTGAAATTCTAGTTAAATTGACAGTAAGAACAACTGTGAACAACTAATTATCAATATTATCCTACTATTAATTTATGTATTGGACAGTCATAAATTAATGTGTTATCCTAATTGATTCTAGAATGCATGAAACGTTGACTTGATACTTTGTTCAGGTCATAGTACTTCAATTCCCATTCCCTCTCTCTCTCTCTCTCGTTCTCCCATAATAACAATAACCACCTCATATGTACAGGATTAAGTATTAGTCTGTTAAACAAATAAGTATTTCATCCCTGACTTATTTATGTAAATAATAGAACAGAAAAAGAAGCTTACCTATTTTTTTAATAAATGAACTGTTTCCCCTTATTCACTTTTAACCTTGAAATGAATTTATGTCATTTCTGTCAAAAACACCATTTTAATTGACTATAATTAATCACTGATTTATATTTTTCAGTATTTGTTTTTTTTTTCTTAAGAAAAGAAAAAAGGAAAAATTTTCAATTTTTAAAAATAGATAAAAGTGTGTTAACATTGACAGAAAAAATGGTTTGTTTCAAATCTCAAGCCCGAGTATGGCTAGAAATTTGAGTGTTCATTGAAAATAAAGAAAGTCACTTGTTACATTTGTACATCTACTGAAAATAAATTGATTAGTTTCTGTCAGTGTATGTGTGAATAATTTGCTCGTATATCCCAGGACAACCAAGTAAACAATACTGGTGTTAGAGAAAAGGAGTCTTAGACAAGGACGAACTATCAGCTGATGAAGTAATAAATCTTCATCAGCTGGGGTGGTTGAAACATGTGTTACGAATGCCTAACCACCGAGCGCCTTGACGAGCGATGATGTGTGATGTAGGAGTAGGGTGGAAGGAAGTAAGGGGCGACCAAATCAAAACATGAAACAAATCCATGAATGCACTGGCAACTGGACTGAACCGTATTAGTAGGTGTAGACTACTTGATTGAGGTCGACAAGACAATTTTAACCGGTGGTTAGAGACCTTGAATGACATGGCTCAAAATCGCTTGCGATTGCGCAGGTGCATCCATTCTCTGTGTTCGCATAAATTCCAATCTCCTGGATTCCTCAAGACTTTATTCTCTTTCTAAATTAACCTCAGTGGATTATACTTTTCGAATCATATCTTCTATCTCGATTCTTTTGAATACCACTAATACTTCTACTACTTCTGCCATATTCCTTTTGCAATAAACTCTCAATTGACGCATTAACTAATTTTGTATGATTTACTATTCCTCCTCATCTTTTTCATGTTATATATGACCCAAAGGCCTCTCTATACACAGTCACTTTTGACTCGCTCACGTATAATAGCATTTTATCATTTTACAGTGTGATGACATAAGACATGTTTTGTTATATAAACTATGTGTGCTTAAAATACAGTTGATATTTTTAAAGGTTGACCACAGACATCTGAACTAAGAATTAGGTAGGACAGAGAGAAAGGAGCTATCGAGTTGTAAACGAATCAGGGTTGACTCAAGGTTTCTGGTGTTAAAACGTTATTCTGATTGGTGTTTTGTACTTGTCAAAGTTTAGCGATACAATCTAATTAGCTGAGAATCAGCATACATATGAATAAGGTATTCGTCATAATTTACTGTAAATCAGTAATTATTATGTATAGTAATTCTAACTGGATTAGACAATGGTGTACGCTGTTGAGACAAAATTTACGGTCTAGTGTTTTCACTAGTTCTCAAAAACTGATATCAGTTTATGATTGATTAGAACTGAACAAAATATAATCATTATTGAAAAAAAAAAATAATTAATCATTTATTTTTACTCTGGTAGATAATATTTCTAAATAAAATACATTTTGTACTCGTGACTAAAAAAATGCACGCGTAGTCACGGCATTACATCGTTGACACGTGTTTTTTATTAGTGTGACAGTCCAATTAATGATTTCATTGTAAAGGACGCAATCTAATCAAGGGGTAGGAAGGAATATGCCGATTATAGAACAATTTTTGTCGTGACCATAATTTTCCCCGGTAGTAACCACCTATATGATTCGTAATTAAATCGATTGTAACCTCGTTAAGAAAATATATATATACACACTGAAAAAGAGTATAAGTTTACTCGACATCTGTCAGTAATAATAATCATAATCACAATTTATCCATTAATCGAATTTTTCTCGAAATGACTCTCATCAATGTTAGTAAACCTATTTTGATTTTTAATTGTGAATAATTTCTGCTTTGAAAATAGATATTATCCGTAACGATTTCCTTGGTATCTTATCTATTTCTCTTTCAAAATGGAGGTAAGTAAAAAGCGGAAGAAAATAAAATCTAATCTAATCATGTAACTTGTTTATTTTTTCATTTTGAATCGGAGTGAATTTTGCATCTTTTACAACAAAAAAAATCAATTGATTTTCTATTTCTCTAGATGCTGTCGATGTAGGCGTACAAGTTGGTGGTTTAGGTGTTCAAGGAAGGGTGGGGATTGGTGGCGGTGTCAGAGCAGGACTAGCTGTTGATGGTAGTGCAAGTGTTAACAGCGTTTTAAATTTTACGCATTGACAATTATCTAGGTGCACGTGATCTGCTGAGAGTGAAACGATTGGGTCGTTTGCCTAATCGTCGAATTGGCGCCAGAATTATTGGTGGACGTGTAATCAATGCAGAAATACGTGGTGTTGGTGGTGTTAGTGGTGGTGAAAGTAGTTCACGAACTGTTCGAAGAAAAGTAGTCATAGAACCAGGTGAAGATGATTTTGAAGAAACAAGGAGAAGAGTTGTCAAGAGAAGAGAAATTGAAGAGCCTCCTGCTGAAGAAGAAACATCGTCAGAAACACGTAGACGAACAATTAAACGAACTGTTATTGAAGATGATGGTGACTGGGATTATTAATTATTAATTAGTTCAAGTGGGGAAACAATAAAAAAACTGTCAAGAAAAATAATCCGTTAAAATCTGTTAGTGATTTTGAAGAACAACTTTTGATGTGATTTCTTTCATTTTATTATTATGATTCGTGTTTTATTCAAATCAACACATCACTACTATGAATAATCATGTAGTTTGTCAAAAAAAAAAACAGAAATCAAATTGTTCATGATTTAATTGTTATTTTTCAAAAAATAAATGTTTCATCATTTTGTTAATGTTTAAAACAAAAATAGTAGCGATTAACATTAACAAAATGATGAAACATTTATTTTTTGAAAAATAACAATTAAATCATGAACAATTTGATTTCTGTTTTTTTTTTGACAAACTACATGATTATTCATAGTAGTGATGTGTTGATTTGAATAAAACACGAATCATAATAATAAAATGAAAGAAATCACATCAAAAGTTGTTCTTCAAAATCACTAACAGATTTTAATGGATTATTTTTCTTGACAGTTTTTTTATTGTTTCCCCACTTGAACTAATTAATAATTAATAATCCCAGTCACCATCATCTTCAATAACAGTTCGTTTAATTGTTCGTCTACGTGTTTCTGACGATGTTTCTTCTTCAGCAGGAGGCTCTTCAATTTCTCTTCTCTTGACAACTCTTCTCCTTGTTTCTTCAAAATCATCTTCACCTGGTTCTATGACTACTTTTCTTCGAACAGTTCGTGAACTACTTTCACCACCACTAACACCACTAACACCACCAACACCACGTATTTCTGCATTGATTACACGTCCACCAATAATTCTGGCGCCAATTCGACGATTAGGCAAACGACCTAATCGTTTCACTCTCAGCAGATCACGTGCACCTAGATAATTGTCAATGCGTAAAATTTAAAACGCTGTTAACACTTGCACTACCATCAACAGCTAGTCCTGCTCTGACACCGCCACCAATCCCCACCCTTCCTTGAACACCTAAACCACCAACTTGTACGCCTACATCGACAGCATCTAGAGAAATAGAAAATCAATTGATTTTTTTTGTTGTAAAAGATGCAAAATTCACTCCGATTCAAAATGAAAAAATAAACAAGTTACATGATTAGATTAGATTTTATTTTCTTCCGCTTTTTACTTACCTCCATTTTGAAAGAGAAATAGATAAGATACCAAGGAAATCGTTACGGATAATATCTATTTTCAAAGCAGAAATTATTCACAATTAAAAATCAAAATAGGTTTACTAACATTGATGAGAGTCATTTCGAGAAAAATTCGATTAATGGATAAATTGTGATTATGATTATTATTACTGACAGATGTCGAGTAAACTTATACTCTTTTTCAGTGTGTATATATATATTTTCTTAACGAGGTTACAATCGATTTAATTACGAATCATATAGGTGGTTACTATCGGGGAAAATTATGGTCACAACAAAAATTGTTCTATAATCGGCATATTCCTTCCTACCCCTTGATTAGATTGCGTCCTTTACAATGAAATCATTAATTGGACTGTCACACTAATAAAAAACACGTGTCAACGATGTAATGCCGTGACTACGCGTGCATTTTTTTAGTCACGAGTACAAAATGTATTTTATTTAGAAATGTTATCTACCAGAGTAAAAATAAATGATTAATTTTTTTTTTTCAATAATGATTATATTTTGTTCAGTTCTAATCAGTCATAAACTGATATCAGTTTTTGAGAACTAGTGAAAACACTAGACCTTAAATTTTGTCTCAACAGCGTACACCATTGTCTAATCCAGTTAGAATTACTATACATAATAATTACTGATTTACAGTAAATTATGACGAATACCTTATTCATATGTATGCTGATTCTCAGCTAATTAGATTGTATCGCTAAACTTTGACAAGTACAAAACAAACCTTGAGTCAACCCTGATTCGTTTACAACTCGATAGCTCCTTTCTCTCTGTCCTACCTAATTCTTAGTTCAGATGTCTGTGGTCAACCTTTAAAAATATCAACTGTATTTTAAGCACACATAGTTTATATAACAAAACATGTCTTATGTCATCACACTGTAAAATGATAAAATGCTTTTATACGTGAGCGAGTCAAAAGTGACTGTGTATAGAGAGGCCTTTGGGTCATAAATAACATGAAAAAGATGAGGAGGAATAGTAAATCATACAAAATTAGTTAATGCGTCAATTGAGAGTTTATTGCAAAAGGAATATGGTAGAAGTAGTAGAAGTATTAGTGGTATTCAAAAGAATCGAGATAGAAGATATGATTCGAAAAGTATAATCCACTGAGGTTAATTTAGAAAGAGAATAAAGTCTTGAGGAATCCAGGAGATTGGAATTTATGCGAACACAAAGAATGGATGCACCTGCGCAATCGCAAGCGATTTTGAGCCATGTCATTCAAGGTCTCTAACCACCGGTTAAAATTGTCTTGTCGACCTCAATCAAGTAGTCTACACCTACTAATACGGTTCAGTCCAGTTGCCAGTGAATTCATGGATTTGTTTCATGTTTTGATTTGGTCGCCCCTTACTTCCTTCCACCCTACTCCTACATCACACATCACTGCTCGTCAAGGCAGTCGGTGGTTAGGCATTCGTAACACATGTTTCAACCACCCCAGCTGATGAAGATTTATTACTTCATCAGCTGATAGTTCGTCCTTGTCTACGACTCTTTTCCCTAATACCAGTATTGTTTACTCGGTTGTCCTGGGATATACGAGCAAATTATTCACACATACACTCACAGAAACTAATCAATTTATTCTCAGTAGATGTACAAATGTAACAAGTGACTTTCTTTATTTTCAATGAACACTCAAATTTCTAGCCATACTCGGGCTTGAGATTTGAAACAAACCATTTTTTCTGTCAATGTTAACACACTTTTATCTATTTTTAAAAATTGAAAATTTTGCTTTTTTCTTTTCTTAAGAAAAAAAAAACAAAAACTGAAAAATATAAATCAGTGATTAATTATAGTCAATTAAAATGGTGTTTTTGACAGAAATGACATAAATTCATTTCAAGGTTAAAAGTGAATAAGGGGAAACAGTTCATTTATTAAAAAAATAGGTAAGCTTCTTTTTCTGTTCTATTATTTACATAAATAAGTCAGGGATGAAATACTTATTTGTTTAACAGACTAATACTTAATCCTGTACATATGAGGTGGTTATTGTTATTATGGAAGAACGAGAGAGAGACAGAGAGAATGGGAATTGAAGTACCATGACCTGAACAAAGTAGAAAGTCAACGTTTCATGCATTCTAGAATCAATTAAGGATAGCACATTAATTTATGACTGTCCAATACATAAATTAATAGTAGGATAATAGTGATAATTAGTTGTTCACAGTTGTTCTTACTGTCAATTTAACTAGAATTTCGGAGCACAGTTTTGGAGGTTTGTGTTTTTACACATTTGAAATCATCAATCAATCATTGTTAGACCACCATTAGAAACCTGGAAGCACTGGACGGCCGGTATGGGACTCATCAGCAGTGCGCATCTAGAATTCTTTGTAAAGCTAATAATAATTCATATAACCCTAATGATATTGATTCAGTTGTGTGTGTTTTCAAACAATAAATTTACATCATAATTAAATAACTAAGTACAGTTCAAGTAGTGTACATCAACAGCCATCAATGAAAAACAGAACTCATAAACTTTACATATGTAGCTCCACTAAATCATTGATAATACACTATAACTGAATGCTATTAGTGAATGACTGACTCACATGGTCAATATTTACTTATTTACGTTTGTTACCCCTAAACTAGAACATTGGTCACCGACAAGCATTCACCATCCAAATTTCTCATACGACTGCCTTCCGTTCCAGTTCTACACAATCGCTGTTCATTCTGTTGATATCTGTCTCCAATTCTCGGTGCAATTTGTTCTTTGATATTCATCCTCTATTTCGGCTTTGAGGATTCCATGTTAAGGCTTGCCTTGTGATGTAGTTGGATGATTTCCTTAGTGTGCATCCTATCCACTTTCAATGCGTTTTCCCAATCCCTTCCTTAGATGGAACCGGTTTGTTCTGTCTCACATTGGGTCACTGTTGATAGTATCTGGCCAACAGATCCTCTGTATCCTGCTTAGACAACTGTTAATAAACACCAGTATTTTATGGATGATGGTTTTCGTAGTTCTCGAAGTGTCCAAGCCATACCATAGAACAGTTTTGTCACTTGGATTGGAAATGCTGATTTTGTGTTAGTTAATATTTGTTTTGAGCTGCCTTTGATTTGCTAATCCGTGTCTGAGATTCATCTTTACTATCAAGGATACTGTCCAGGTATGTAAAAGTTTCTGCATCATCTGAAGCTACTTCGTCAAGTATGATTTCGTTGGTGTATGTTATTGGCTACTGCTTTGCATTACAACCTTTGGAAACTAAACTCTAATAATGGCGTAATAGAAGTTACACATGTAAACTACTGGTTAATGTCTCATTAATCTTAAAAATCAAATATTCACTATGAGACCTGAAGTTCCCGGGTTCAATCATCGTCAAGGTGATTGATGTTCACTACTCGTCAGTCGCTTGCTAGTTCAGTATTTTCTAGTTTCAAATGGTTTCCTATCAAAGGTCATTTTATGTGGTATAAACACCAAGGAATAAAAATAGATGTGAATATCTTTCATAAATATTGGTATAAGCGAGTTTTTCACTCACTAATTTTTTTATTTCACCCACTTCCACTACACTAACTCAAATCTACCTATGTAGTTACTTACTTCACTTAGTTACACCCCTCATAGAATATAGGCCGCCGACCAGCGAATTGGTGTATTTTAGCGAATTCGATTTCTACAGGATGGGATCGTTAACCTCATGTCCAACCCTCCTCGTTTATCCGGGCTTAGGACCGCCAGTAACCCTAGAAGGGCTTCAAGTTGAGTTTACTATGTATTGAACTTATTTAGAAATGTATACGCATATGCGCACATTTTGTATGATCACAACAACACTATGCTTACTCAATAGATAGATATTTTCGTTTACTTTTTATTAGAACTTCCAATAAACTTTTCAAACATTTATTTATTTTATACAATCGAAAAAGAATAAATTATTTAAGGTCATTACAATCAACTCTATATATATATATAAATATGTATTTAAAGGTTGAATTTTTAACCTTGAGCGATTATACCACAAGGTCTTTTTTTTCGATGATCAAGTCATTTAAATAAAAAAAGTATTGATCTCTTGTTGAATTTGTTTTTCTACATTGTGTGTTGTGTTTTCTTTATTTCATGACTGAAATCATTAAGAAAAAAATGAATAAACAAACAAAAAACTAAATTAAAACAATGAAAGTATTTCTTTATTTAAATTATTTTCTATGTAGGACATTTTAAAAACCTTTCAAAACATAATTTAAAGATAAGTTGAACAGTACAGTGTGCGTGAATGTGTAGCGCATTCACCACTCACAGTTCAATGTTCAATATATGTGCCCAGTGTCAAGCAAGCATTCGTTGGTGAACATTTCATCTGTTCATCTAATAATCCATGAACTGCGGGGTTGTTGTGAAGATTGTTAAGTTTTATTTGTAACCATGAATCGATCAATGTTAGGCCACCATTAGAAACCTGGAAGCACTGATAGACGGCCGTTTCGTCCTGGTATGGGACTCATCAGCAGTGCGCATCCACGACTCCTGCACCCCGCAGGATTCGAACCCAGGACCTTCGGTATTGTGCACGAACGCCCTGTTCGAATCCTGCGGGGTGCAGGAGTCGTGGATGCGCACTGCTGATGAGAACTATACCAGAACGAAACGGCCGTCTTTCAGTGCTTCCAGGTTTCTAATGGTGGTCTAACATTGATCGATTCATGGTTACAAATAATCCATGAATGTTAAGTGTAGGAGAGTAATGTTTTTACTGAGGAACATTGCAAAAGAAAACTATTTATCCTCAACAAGTGAATAAATAAATGGTGATATACCCTTTTCAATTCATTAGTTCATTATGGGTCATTTCTATTGCATAAGTTATTTTATTTTTTGTAAAGAAAACTTATATTGCTTTTCTTCATTTCAAGTTTGAATTTATATTTGACTTGACGAGAAAAAGTAAATGGACAGATTGTTGTTGTGATACGCCCATTTCATGGATTGTATGTTGAATTTTTTTCTAAAGAAATCAGATTTTTTTTCCTAAAACAAAAATGGGTGTAATCTGTTGCACAATAGAGAGATATGCTTTAGAAAAAGGAGCAACTTTTAAGGTCACAATGCATATGTAACAATGTAACTGG